TCATGAGATGACAATAGAATAAAAAGTAATTAGCTAAAGGATTTGTCTATTTATTAATTTCACTTTTAAATGAAGAAATTGACATTAAGTAAAGAGAAAAAGGTTCATTGTCATGAATAAAAAAGAAAAACAAAAATAAAAAATAGGGTTTTATAAAAAGAATAATAAAAAAATAGTAAAAATTTGAAAATAGTTAGAAAAAAAGAAAAGAAACTTAAAAGACAATGGAGGAAATCGTTATTGAAGCACCAACTAATGGAGATGCAAATTCAAATTTAATGAAGCAAGATCTTTCTTCTCTTAATATTGATGAAATAACTGCTCTTACACCTTGTGTCATTTCAAGACAAGCAACAATTAATATTGGTACTATTGGTCATGTAGCTCATGGTAAATCAACAGTAGTTAAAGCATTATCAGGTGTACATACAGTCAAATTTAGAGAAGAGTTGAAGAAAAATATGACAATTCGTTTGGGTTATGCTAATGCTAAGATTTATAAATGCACAAACCCAAATTGTCCTAAACCAGGTTGTTACAGAAGTTATGGATCAGCTAAGGAAGACAACCCAATTTGTGAAGTACCAGGTTGTGGTCATAAGATGCAATTATTAAGACATGTTAGTTTTGTCGATTGTCCAGGTCATGATTCATTGATGATGACAATGCTTACTGGAACTGCCGTTATGGATGGGGCATTATTACTTGTTGCAGGTAATAAACCATGTCCACAACCACAAACCAGTGAACATTTAGCTGCAGTAGAGTTCATGAAATTAAAACATATGATTATTTTACAAAATAAAATCGATTTAGTAAAAACTAAAGAAGATGCACAAAAGAATTATCAACAAATTAAAGAATTTGTTAAAGGAAGTATTGCAGAAAATGCACCAATTATTCCAATTTGTGCACAATTAAAATATAATATGGATGTAGTGTGTGAATATATTTGTCATTCTATCCCTGTTCCACAAAGAGATTTTAAAGTTAATCCACGAATGACTATTATTCGTTCATTTGATATTAATAAACCAGGAACTTTACCTCAGGACTTAATTGGAGGAGTTATTGGGGGAACTTTATCACAAGGAATGTTAAAACTTGGTGACGAAATAGAAATTAGACCTGGTTTTAATTTCAGAGATAGTAAAAATCAACAAACTTGCAAACCATTATTTACTAAAATTATTTCACTTCATGCTGAAAGAAATGAACTTCAATTTGCTGTTCCTGGAGGATTAATTGGTGTTGGTACTAGTTTAGATCCATCACTTTGTCGTGCTGATAAACTTACTGGTCAAGTTGCTGGTATTGTAGGTTCATTGCCTCCTGTATTTGTTGAACTTCAAATTAAATTCTATTTGTTAGCTCGTTTATTAGGAGTTGAAAGCAGTGATGGAGAAGCATTAGTTAAGCCATTAGTTGCTGGTGATATTTTAATGATCAACATTGGAAGTACTCACACTGGTTGTAAGGTTATGGCTTTGAAAGATGATATGGCTCAAATCTCATTAATGAAACCTGTCTGTACTACTGTTGGTGGAAAAATTGCAATGTCTAGAAAAGTAGAAAGAAGATGGAGGCTTGTTGGATGGGGAGAAGTTGTTAAAGGAACAAAGAAGGTCTCTGAATAAAAATAACTCAAATTTCTTTATTTTATTCAACTAAACACAGTTTTTATTGTTTTAAAACACTCTATTCTAGCTTTTATTTTGGTTCTACAACAGATTTAGAATATATATTTTGTTCTCGTTTATCTAACCAATTTTAATAAGATGTTAAGAAAATTATCTTAAAAATATATTTTAAGTTATTAAATTATTAATCTAATGGATATCCAATACTATCTGAGCTAATAAAGAAACAAGGAAAATAAAAAACAGCTTTTCAATGAAAGTACGATAAAATAATAAGTCAGCATTTATAAATTTTGTTGAAAAAAATAAAAAATGTCATAAATTATAACAGGTAACTTGTGAAGTAATAACAGAGTTATTATTTGTTGAGCATTGAATTATCATTGTTGGTTTGATATTTATTGTTGCATGATATACATCATATTCTTAATTATAATGTATTTAAAGTTGTTGATAATGTTTAATTTAAGTTTTTATTTTTATAATAAATTAATATTTTCAGTATTTAAAACTCAATAAAAGAAAGTCCAAATTGAATAATTA